GAAGTACTTTTCTCCCTTTCTCACAATACAAGAACTCGTGGGCACTCCATGAAATTGCTGAGCAGTTGGGTTAGAACAGATAAATGGAAGTACTTCTTCACCCAAAGAGTGATTAACACATGGAATTCACTACCACAGGAGGTGGTGGCGGCCAAAAGCATGGACAGCTTCAAGAGGGAACTGGATAAACATATGGAGCAGAAGTCCATCAGTGGCTATTAGCCATAAGGTATAGATAGGAACTCACAGGCTGGGGCAATGTCCTGGCCCCACTGATGGACCTCCTGATGGTACCTGGTATTTTTGGCCACTGTGTGACAGAGTGTTGGACTAGATGGGCCATTGGTCTGATTCAACATTGGCTTCTCTTATGTTCTTATCATATATACATGTCTGTTTCAGTTTTACTGGTCCCTTCTAGCCCATACAGCTTCTAGGGAGTAACTTTGGCTTTGCAGGGCTTTCTGCACTGAGCATGGGGGTGCCCTATCAGATTTTACTAGGATGCTTCCTTCGCCCTCAGTTGTACACTGCAGTTTGGGAACATCTGGGTAAGGCCATAATTCAAATAAAGTATTGTTATGAACCCAAATTTGTGATACTTTACCTGTATTTCCTAAAATAATCCTTAAGAAAATAGGTATATCCTTTGGGGAAAATGGCTGGGTCAAGGATTGTAAGAAATTGCTTTCATTGATGTTGAATACTGTTTCCAATGGAACCTTCTTTTGCTTTCTCCTAGAAGTGTCATACACTTTCTCCTTTTAATTTTGAAACCTGAATACTACTTTGTGCCTGGCTTTAATTCTAGAATCTCTCAGTTCTTGCATATCTGCCCTTTCTTTCTCTAAGCAACGAATGGAAAGAGAAGCAGAAAAGAAGATTATAATGCTGGCGGAAAGGGCCCATCATGAAGCCCTCACGTAAGATTTATCTGATTTCTCTATTCCTTAATCTTGGCTAAAGTGCTACATGTAGTAGGATGATTCATAGGTAACCCAAGTGAGTACTTAATTTCTTATGATTAAATACAGCACTAATCACAAATTAGTCTTACTACTATGAGTGAGTGCTGTCTCCATAAACTCATGTTGAGTCTGTAGTTTGTGTTCTGTTAAGTTTCATAATTAAAAGACGACGTCTGTTATAATGACTTCTGAATTTCCTTTGTCCTTTCTCAGGAAGTTGGACAATGCAGGAAGAGCCGTTTTTGCAGAGAATGTTCGTCTTCATGAAGCTCTTTCATATCACATGAAGGAAACAGAAGAATTACAAAAATCCAAGCAAAAACTGGAGGAGAACAATGCTTTTCTCTTGCAAGAGAAGGTTCTTGTTATGACATTTCCTATTTATGCATAAAGAAGAGATCTTAAAATATTTGTTTAGGCTCATTTCACTAGTATATCTGCACAATGATTCATGTAAAAATCGCTAATGTTTGCCAACACCCTAGAAAGATGAGGGTATTATTCTGGCCCCTTGTTACTGCAAATAGAAAGTCTTCCTTTTGGAAAGAGTTAAACATGAGGTTTGTATACGTCAAACAATCACATTCTTGTTTGTTCTGAATCATGAATGTAGATGTTCAGTGGCGTTATTTCAATTATGGAGATAAGAGTCAAATTGTTATTTTTCATTGATTGGTAATTGGCTTCATAATACATTTCTTAAATTAATATGCCTACAAGTCATCAAAAAATCAAGATGGGTGTTTGTAACGATTTCATGTTTATTTGTGTGTGTGTCTTTAAAAGTTTGGTTTGTATGGATGTATGACAGACTAGGGTGCTGGACTCAGGCAAGTGATATGATTGGTGAGTGACAGAGAGGGGGAGGGGTTTTGGAATGGATGCTGTGTAGATGATTTGAATGTCTATCAGGAGTGACTGTGAGAGTTATGACAGTTGATGAAGTCAGTTAGTCAGCAGAGAGTGCTGTGTAAAAGCAGTTGATAGGAGTTGGTCCTGAGATTTCTGTGAGAGAAGCAGAAGTCAGTTAAGTTCTGTCTCTGAGTTGAAGGAGACTCAGCCCTGTGTGTGAAAAGAGTGACATTTAAGTCTGTGTTATGGGGGAGAAAATTACAAGCTGAGAGTCTAGGAAAAAGTACAGTGAAAAGTGTTACAAAATTGCCTATGAAATATCCCTGTCAGTGGAGAGAGGCTTGTGAGAGACACCAATGGTTCAAATCATTCCCAGTTCTGTTTACATTGTTTGCCCTTGTGTTGATGCTTTCTTTAAATAAATCCTATTTCCTTCAAGTATACTAGCTCAGCAAATAATCCTTCCTCAGGCCACATAGACCTTCATGAATGCCTAGACCCATGGTACACCTACCCAGGGATAGAAATATATATTATAGTAAGAGATTGGAAAGCCTTAAAATTCCTGGTGGCAGCCGGATACCCAAAGAAAAATAAACTAAAAGGGACACTTTAAAGTAAAACCAGACCTCCCCAAATAAGGGGTCGTCACAGTGTTTTTTGCAGATGTTGAAGAAAGGGCATAGTTTATCAAGTCGGAAGTATTTTATAATATAATAAACACAAATTCCCCCATTTGGTGTACTTTCCTGCCCAACAATATCAGAAAGGCCTCCTCACTGCAGCTCTTTAGAAGGCTCTGTAAGTCAGAATTATTGGGGGAGTATTTCTATGAAAGGAGCTGCGGTGGCTGAAGTGGTTAAGACGCTGAACTGCAGGCTGTGGAAGGCCAGTAGTTCAGCAGTTCAAGACCCGTGTGTGCCGCATGACGGAGTGAGCTCCCGTCTCTAGTTCCAGCTCCTGCCAACCTAGCAGTTCGAAAGCAAGAAATTGCAAGTATATAAATAGGTACCACTTCAGTGGGAAGGTAACAGCGTTCCATGCACCTTGGTGTTTAGTCATGCCGGCCACATGACCACGGAAATGTCTTCGGACAGCGCTGGCTCTTCGGCTTTGAAACGGAGATGAGCACCGCAACCCTAGAGTTGGATTCGACTGACTTTTGAGCAAGGGAACCTTTACCTTATTTCTGTGAAAGCTGCTCTTGTAGATGATTTCAATTGTATTTTGGAATCTCTGTTTTTTGTTGTTTTAGAGTTACTGTGGTGTTTTCATTATATTTTAATTTGTGGTTTAAATTTAGATTGTAAACCACTTTGAATCCTGTTTAGAGAAAGGTGAATTAGAAATAGTGTAAATAAATTAGTATTCACTGGGCTGAATCTTTCCATTTTATTCCATCAGCACCTGTGTGTTCTCTGGCATGAGGTGTCTTGTGCCAGAAGAATTTGCAGGAACCAGCAGGATTAAATGGTAGGATCCAGTCCTTTGTTAGAATGACACAACATGGTTTATATTTACTTTTTCATTTAATTCAGCTGCTCTTCTGGGACATACAGAATATTTCCAATTACAGTAATTCACCAGATCCAAAATAGCTCCAAAATGAAGGTTTTCACGTGCCATTGATGTTGTGGTAGATTTTCAAGGTATCTGTTGACATGGATTTCACCTGTTGCTCCCTGTTTCAGTGACTTATGAGTTGTGTTGCTAACAGGAAAATTGCAGTGGCTGCACTATGAAATTCGAAATATCCAGTAGCCTCTGGAATAAACTAGAAGGAGAAACCAATTGTAACAGTGTCATCTTAAACCTGAGCTACACCCTTCTAAGCCCATTGACTTCAATGGGTGTTACTGTGCTTAAGGATGTCATTGTTAGCTTCTTTTTCACCAGATTCAGTAAGGCTACAAGGAACTAGCATGTTCATGTGGTTTTATTTATTTATTTATTTATTTATTATGAGATTTATACCCCACCCTTCCAGCTGAAGCCGGCTCAGGGTGGCTTAAAGTAAAGGTAAAGGTTCCCTTGCTCGAAAGCCAGTCGAATCCGACTCTAGGGTTGCGGTGCTCATCTCCGTTTCAAAGCCGAAGAGCCAGCGCTGTCCGAAGACATTTCCGTGGTCATGTGGCCGGCATGACTAAACACCAAGGTGCACGGAACGCTGTTACCTTCCCACTGGAGTGGTACCTATTTATCTACTTGCAATTTCTTGCTTTCGAACTGCTAGGTTGACAGGAGCTGGAACTAGAGACAGGAGCTCACCCTGTCTTGCGGCACCCGGGTCTCGAACTGGTGAACTACTGGCCTTCCACAGCCTGCAGTTCAGCGTCTTAACCACTTGAGCCACCGCAGCTCCTTAGGGTGGCTTACAAAAGGATAAAACAGCGAATAAACAATTTAGAATCCTAAGAACCATATAAATAATCCAAAGTTAAAAGGTGCTAACAGTACAATATTAATAAATTAAATTAACTTTAAAAGGTGGCGGGTGGCTTCTCCATTCACTGGCACCACACAACAGTGTGCCTTCAGTTTCGGCTCCTTTGATTTAGTCAGGGAAATTTTTAAGCTATGAAGTTCATTTTCCATCTTCTTGTGCAGCCCCACATTGGGACTGTGCCTGCGTAGGCCGGCTGTGGACATTTTCTTTCTAGCTCCAAAGTGGGGGCAGCCTGCCCCTTTCAGAGCCAGCGCATGCATGAGATTTCTGCCCAATATGTCACATGCTGTGACAGCAGGTGCCTCCTTTCCCTCAGTTTCATTTTTGCCGCCGTGAAGATAGGAAGCTTTCTAGCATGCTCTGTTGGTATTCATTGTCCATGAAGATTAGACATTTGTTCTCATTCAGAGAGTGGCTTTTTCAGATAGAGAGCCTATTTGTGAAAGGCAAACTCTTCCGTAGATTGGATTTTGCCGATTGTGTGCTTGTGGTCCCTTGTTATGGCATCCAAGGCACTGTTCAAAAAATGTTCCAAGTGCGGAATGAAAATGATGCACAGCAACGAGCATGAGTTCTGCCTCCTGTGCTTAGGAGAGGACCATAATGTTGGAGCTTGTCAGATTGTCAGCACTTTATCCCAAAGGCTCAGTTGGATAGGGCCTCTAGACTGAAGGCTGTGCTGTGGGAGAAGGCTTTGTCCTCTTTGGTTCCATCCAAAGTGGTACTGAGTTCGGGATCAACTGTTTTGGGTCTGCCTCCCCTGGTTCCAACTATAAAACCATGTTCCGGACCACCATTGGTCTGTTTGGTTTTAGCAGGTCCAATTATCAAGACAACTCTCCTTCCTCCAAAGAGGGTCAATTTGGTCAGCACAAAAGCAGAATTTAGAGGGTCACGTTTATCATCTCCAAGACCTTCAACTAAGGCCTGATCTCATTTGAAATCTCCTGCGGAGAAATATAAAAAGGCTAAGCATAAGGAGAAAACAGAGGCAGCATCCAAGTCAATGTGTGCCATCCAGTCCAAGGGTCCAGAATCTGACCAGGACATTATCATGGTCCTGCCTCAAACCTCATCACCTGATCTAGCCTCTCTTGCCAGTTCCTTTTCCACCGCTGATGATGATCAGCCTAGCATCCCTGCAGGACAACTACTGCCATCGGAATCGAGACCCCCCCTTGTGGCATCCAGCAGACCCACCTCAACACTCGTACTACGTGTTGCCATCCTATTTAAATAGATGGGTGGAACAGCATCCTCAGATACTGAAGGAGCAGAACCCTAAAACAAAGGGATACATTCTGTGATGGCTCTGTTTCGATCCTCTTACTATGAACAGGAAGAAGCCTCTGCAGCTTCAAGCTGCAGTTCCGAAAGTGCCTCAGAGCCATTACCTGACAATACTGTAGGCAATCCAACCCAGTATCTCCCAGTGAGGACCTCTGTCTCTACAGAGAGCAGATCCTGAGAATGGCAAAAGCCCTTGATATCGATGTCACCACTTCAGATAACCATCTGAAGGTCAGAATTCTGAGCCGACGACTCTATTTGGATACGCCAGGCATTATACAAGCACTTTGCCCTAGGAACATTCTTTCAGAGAATTTCTTGCAACTAAGTTATGATACATCGGTGAATATTAATGACATTTTTGATACCTACTTGTTGAAATGACAGACCAAGAGAAGAAGAAGAAGGATTGGATTTATACCCCCGCCCTTCACTTGGAGTCTCAGAGCGGCTTACAAACAGTCACCCTGTGAGGTGGGTGGGGCTGAGAGAACTCTGACACAAACTGCTCTTTTTCAAGGACAGCTGTGCCACAGCTTGTGACTGACCCAAGGTCACATCAGCAGGTGCAAGTGGAGGAGTGGGGAATCAAACCCGGTTCTCCCAGATTAGAGTCCGCACACTTAACCACTATACCAAACTGGCTCTCATCCACTGCTTTCATCCACTTTTGGAAGAAGAATAGTATTGAAACGATAGAACATTCCGGAGACCATCGTCACACCATTTTCAACTGCCTTGTGCATTTATATGATTTTTGTACACATTTTTGTATAAATATTGTGATTGTTATTGAAATATTTTCTAGTGCAGTTACCTCACAGTTTCTTCTTTTTGCGGTCTGTTCTGTGACTGTGACCATCATTTTTGAGCTCCTTTCTGACCCCGCCAGATCTGGTTCTCGGAGCTAACACTTAGAGGGCAGCAAACTGCATACCACCACCCCCCAGATCTGCTCAGAAGTGGTCCACTATTGCATCATGATGTAGCAAGGCTACATTTAACAGCATGGAGGAATTGGCCCTCTAGTGGACAGGGCCTGCTTCAGCTGGTGGGCCCTGCTCTGCCCACTCCTCCTTTGCCTGACCTGGCACCTGAAGAGGCCGTTTCACTCCACTGCCTCAGGATATTGCTGCCACCACTGTCCCTGTCTTGGGCTCTGGTTTAGGTGGGACAGCCTCCTAACCTCCCTCTGGCGTCACTAGGAACCTGCCTTGGGGTTTCCCAGGACTCTTTGGGGCTCCCTTGTTGAGCTGGCAAATGGTCATTTTACCACTTCTCCTTAGGGATTCCCTGACCCACTCCTAGCATTTCCAAGTGGCTGGGGGAACTGTGTGGTACAGAGGGACTTCACTCCTTCAACAGTTAAAGGATTTATTTAAAACTCTCAATTATATACAGGGACATCAGAAGTGAATGGAAGAAACAAAATAAAGTTGACAAAAACGCTTCATCTCTCTCCCTCCTCTAAACCCATGCCCAATCTAGGTGGTATACAGGGCAGGGACATTACTTTGTTACTCTGGCATAGACTGGCAAACATGTCTCCCAAAATGGCCTCCGTATCTGGCTTGGGAACAGGGCTGTACCTGCCTCTGTCTCTTGCAGATGCCAACCGACCAACTGACTGCCTTCTCACTGCCCTCCCACCCAAAAACTCAATAATATAAACAGCCATTCCCACCCAGGAACTGGCTCTCATTCTGGCAGCATTCTGGGGCAGATCTCCTCATTACCTTAATGGAGTTGCTGTCTTCTCTAGGGAGTTGCCCTCAGATTACTGGTTGGAGACTGGAGGGGAGGGGGAATGAGGTGGAGATATAAGTGTAATTAATAAATAAATTAGGCCAAGGCCTGCCTAAAGTTTGATAGTCTCCTCCTATTCAGCCGACACGAAGTTAAACCTACACACAAAATGGTGTTTCTCCACAGGCTCCAAGACGCTCTTTCTCCCAGAGTTTGAGATATTTTTCTGCAGGCCCATAAACCTTTAACTAGATATTCTTATGACAGGAAATGGACCTGTTTTGAGTCTTGGTCTGCTGCTAGAGGGGAACGCCCTTTCACCTGTCCACTGCCATCAGTTCTGGAATATCTACTGTCCTTAGTACAAGCAGGTCTGGCTGTTGCTTCAATGAAAACCCACCTGGCAATCATTGCTGCATTTCATGAGGAAGTGCAGGGGACTATGGTTTTTGTGCATAAATGGGTCCAGCGTTTTTGAAAGGACTGTCCAATGTTTTTCCCCCACACCCTCTGTATTGTTCCAGTGGTCTTTACCATTGGTGTTAGCTAGCCTTATTAAACCTCCTTTTGAACCCTTAGCCTCCTGTTTGTTATCATTACTCACTAGGAAAGTAGCATTTTTGGTTGCTATTACCTCAACCAGGAGGGTTAGCGAACTGGCAGCACTTAGGGTTGATTGGCCTTTCCTTAAGATTTTCAGCGAGTGAGTAGTACCCAAGTCTAAACTTCCTTCCTAAGATAGTTTCCAAGTTCCACCTAACACAAGAAATTGTCCTTCTGGTTTTCTTCCCCACTCATTTTTTACAAGTAGAAAAGACCCCGCATACACTTGATGTTAGAAGGGCTCTCCTGTATTATTTTAAAAGAACCAGTCCTTTTCGTAAGGATAAAGCACTATTTATTTGTTATTGGGGCCCTAGGAAGGGTAAAGCTGCATCAGCCCAGTCCATATCCAGATAGGTAGTGGCCACCATCCATTCCTTCTACAGGACAGCAGGAGAACCATGTTCCCTAGATGTTAAAGCGCATTCCACCTGAGTGCAAGCGTCGTCAGCTGCCTTTCATCGGCGAGTTCTCCTTCTGGACATCTGCAAGGCAGCAACCTGGTCAACAGAGGTCACACTTGTGAGAGATTACACCCTAGACTTATGGGCAGGAAAAGAAGTAGATGTGGGCAAGGCAATTCTGTAGGCTTTGTTCCAGTGAGAGACTCACCCCACTTGCTCTGGTGAGTAGCTCACTAATGGTTCCAATGTGGGGCTGCTCAAGAAGATAGAAGATGAAAACAGAGTTGCACTTACTTGCAACTGTTGTTCATCAACATCTTCTGTGCAGACACACATTCTCTCCCTCCCACCCTGCCATGAGCTCTCACAAGGCCTATTGGGTCATTAAAGGGGGCTTATGGCAGCTTAGTGGGAACTAGAGGAAGGGGGCGCCTGCCAGTGGAGCACATGACACATTGGGTGGGAATCCTGCGCATGCACTGGCTGTGAAAGGGGCAGGCCACCCCCACTTTGGACCTTTGGAGCTAGAACGAAAGTGTCTGTGGCTGGCTTGTGCAGGTGCAGTCCCAATGCATATCTGCACAGAAGACGTCAATGAACAAGAATTACAGGTAAGTGCAACTGTGTTTAATGGATTAATTGAGCAATAGCCTTAGAATCTGTATTTCACCCATTTGAATAAATTATTGTCAGATAAACAATCTAGCTCATGGAATTTTCAATCTTTTTGTAAAGGAAACAAAAGAAATGTTAATTCAGGAGAAGGTCCTGCAAAGTACCCAGCATAAAGCACAGATCCAGGAGCTACAAAACAAGGTGAAGAAACTGGAAGCTGCTCTTTGTCACATGGCCAGAGAATTTAAAGCAGAAATCAAAAAGACTGAACATAATGCTTTGGTAAAGAACCAGGCCAGTCATACAGAAATTGAGAAGCTGCAGCAGCTGTTGGAGATGAAAGAGAGAGAGATGAGCAGAGTGAAGAAATTGGCCAGAAACATCTTGGATCAAAGGAGTGAGGTGGAGAGGTTCTTTTTGGATGCTCTGGAACAGGTGAAACAGGAAATCATGACCAGCAGGAAGTGCTATAAGCAGGTAGCTCAAGCTGTTTATCAGAAGAAAATGATGGCGGCATTTGCAGGGAAACAGGAATACCCCAAAATCAGAACCTTTAATGACAATATCCACAGCACAAATAGCGTGCAAAAGGATCTTCAGGAAGCAGAGAAATGGTACATGTGATAGAATCGCAAAGCTTTATTGCTGGTCTTAACTGTTGGGAACAGGAGTTGAGTGTGAAAATCCCTATGAAACGACATACCTCAGCTTGGAATGTCTGGGGGAGGGGAAGGAAGTGGTTTAGTCTTGTGTTTACAGCATTGGCCATTGCTGGGGAAAACATGATAAAACAACTGAAGGGAACAAGCCCAAACCCTTCAGTTTTATACCTTTTAACCTGTGTAAATCTTTAAAGCTCTTCCCAGAAAATGGTTTCTTTACATTCTCTTTTATTTCTGCTGGTGAAGTTTAAAGTTCTACTTCATGTATCATTGGCAGTAAAAATAGTTGCAGCTTGCAACTTTTATGCTGGAGAAAAATTATTAAGTCTTTAAGGTGTCACTGGGCTTCCATTTAATTTTGAAAGCAGTAAATTAAGTTATAACTGGTATTAATACTCTGGTTGACAAGGGAAAAACCCAAGGCCCTCACAGTGGTTAATGTTTTTACAGAAGCCATAGTTTCAACTGAGCAAAGGCTAAAAGGCCAGCAAGCAACATTAGCTGCACACACTACCTCACTTTTATACAAACCAAGTTCTTTTTTTAAAAAAAACAAAACCTTATATACCATGGGGTGTATCCAGTCAGCCAGTGACCCCGCAGATCAGGACAAACTGATTCTCCGTCCATCTGGAATCCATGGAACCTCCTAAAGTTTTGTTCCTGGGGGTCAGTAGACACTCAGAAACAGTATCAGGGCAAAGTGGGTCTGCAGTGAGAGGGGGGGAATTGGTGGAATTCATTGCCCCATGTTCTGAAGTCTGAATGGAATAAAAACTGCAAGTTTCTCTTGGGAGGTGCCATTAAAGTGACTATAATTCTTCTGAACTATGTGACTGGATAGCAGCTCATGTTTTGGTTGTTCTGATCAACCCCCCCCCCCGTTGCTAACAATATAATCAAAATAACAAAAAACAAGCATAACAACCTCTTAAAATAGCAGCCAATTAAAATCCTAAAATAATTCATTAGAAAGTGGACAATTAAGAAAGCAACTTGCAAAGCAGTGTCCAGGATCACTCCCAAATTTCAAACTCAGTTCTTTAGTTGGATTACAGCCCCATCAAAAACAGCCTGTAAACAGTGCTGGGCTGGGTTAACTTTCAACTATCAGTATTTGCATATTTTTCAGATTCATCATCAGTCTGTTGACCCACATTTGGCCCTTCACTGTCTCCAGACCCAATTAAGGGTTTCTGCTGCATTGCTAGAATTTGATAGAGAGTGGGAGAGAAGGACAAAGGGCTTCCCAGCACTCTCCCAGTGTGAACATATAAACTATAAATGTATATATTTTAAAATCTAAACCAAGAATGGTCTTACTGTGAATTGGGCACAGGCTTTCCCAATGGATACAGTATTTCATGACTGCATCATTGTTGTATAGTGGTTTAGAGTGTCGTACTAGGATTGAGGAGATCCAGGTTCAAATTGTGCTACATCACAAAGTTCTCTGAGTGACTTTGGATCAGTCATTCTCTCTTAGCACAGACTACCTCAGATGGTTATTGTGTCCTGAACTCCTTGGAGGAATGGCAGGACAAAACATATAACTAACCAATATAATATAATTAAACTTTGCATGTTACTGCACAATCTTATACTGACAATTATCTGCCCTCAATTATATTGGGGACAATTCTGTTTCTAGGCTGAGAACTTTTGATCAATAAACTTCTCAACATGCCCTTTTATGCATTTTCCCCCAAGGTGTCTTAAGTACTTCGATGTTATTTCTTCATTATAATAGAATCACTACAATTACCTCAAGTGAAATCTTACACACAATTTATACTACACTTTTTGATCGCGTCTAAATTCAGAGGATGTTGAAATTTAGATCATGGAAGAAATTAAAAGATAAGCCTTGTGTCAGTTTGTTTACTCAGTACTATGGGAGAGTGAAATCTGCAAATCCAATTCATTACTGAAGATTTTTCCTGCCTAAATAATAGGTCTTATGCTGGTAATTTATGGATTTTTTGTTAATCTTTTCTTTTTTTCTGTAGGACAAATATCCAGAAGGGAAAGGTAGACATTTCTGAACTGACCTGGGAGCAGAAGGAGAGTGTGCTGAGGTTACTTTTTGCAAAGATGAATGGCCTGCGTACCCGGTAAAGTTCTAGTTGCAAGCAGGGGTTAGGCAGAGTTCTTAGGGCCCATCCATTTTGTAGTTCTTATGCTCTCCAATCAGCACGCAGTAAAAGTGTCTGAAATCAGGCACAAAAGGTACCTTGAAAAAGATGATAGATCCAGGTAGTCAGCTGTGTTGGTCTGAAGCAGCAGAATAAAGTTTGAGTCCAGTGGGGGCACCTTTAAGACCAACAAAGGTTTATTCAAGGTATGAGCTTTCATGTACAAGGCACAGTTTTTCCAATACATTGGAATGGAAGATGAGGTTCTAAACTTATAGACAGGAATTTAACAGCAAATTAAGATCTAACATGATGATGTTTAAGTTACGCAAAGTCAAAAACTAAACAAAAAACTTTAACTTGTTATGATGAAGCCAGCATTGTATAATTTGTTTAGCGATAATGATTATGCTTCTTCCCTCACTTGTTTTATGCTGCAGTTTCCTTTTTAAAAAACTACAGATTATAAATAAAATATTATTTTTAAGCTACAGATTATTTAAAAACAATTCCTAAATAGTTTCAAATGCTGCATTATGAAAGAACAGGCATGAAAAGAGAGGCCACAGCAATGCCTAAGAATGGTCAAGGGTGTTGCCCTAGCAGGGGCTGGAGAAACATCCACCAACAGTATTTGTAGAGAGAGCTGCTCCTTTGAGGGAGTAAGCAAGAATTCCAGAGGGCATTTGAAAGAAGAGACACATTCCTTCTCTCTTTTCCTTCTTGTGGGTGAATTTATATAATCCGTTCTTTATTTCAATAAGAAAATCTTGGAGAGGCTCCCCAACCTCTCTCCACCATTCCCCCAAAGACAAGAGAGCGGAACTCACTTCTGCTACACCTGCTATAGCCTTAGAGTCAAGCTGGGAATAGGTCATAAAGATCACTGCTTTCTCTGAGCTTTGCCCAGGGAACTAAGGTCCTGGCAAAAGTAGTAAGCAGCAGCCAGCGTAATGATTACTGCAACTGCCTCCATCATCCTTGTACAAGACAGAGGTCATTCATTTTCTCTCCTGGCTTCAGTACCAATGAGGGATGTAAGGCAGCTTCATGAGTGTCCAGGGGGAGGTATACATTTCTGCTGCAGAACTGGACAACTTCAAATTTTCCTGGATGAAGTGAATTGTTTAGATTCTTTCCAGTCTGGTTAGGGGACTGAAACAGGAAATGGACAGAGGGAGTGCAACTCTGATGATTCTCCTGGACCTTTCGTGGCTTTGGAGACCATCAATCACAGTATCCTTCTGGGCCGCCTTTCTGGGCTGGGATCATTGTTCCCTCTAAGCCGAGTTAGTGTGAGCTAGCTCACAGTTTTTTAGCCTCTGGCTCAAACATTTTTGTCTTAGCTCAGGAAACATGGCTCCAGAGCAAGCTAATTTATGCAGCAGGCAAATTGCTCGCTCACAACTTTAATGCCAGTAGCTCACAAAGTAGAATGTTTGCTCACAAGACTCCACAGCTTAGAGGAAACATTGGTTGGGATGGGGAGGCACCCATTTGCAGTGGTTCCAGTCCGGACTGCTGCTGAGCCCCTTGACCTTTGAGATCCTGTGAGGTTCTTCTGTCTTGTCACCTGTGCTGTTTAACATCTACATGAAACTGCTGGATGTTGAATTTTAAAGCTCTATACGTTTCGGGACCAACCAACCAGAGGATTTTGTTTTAATGGTTTTTAATAAGTGATTTTATTGTTTTAATTTGTTAGCAGCTTTGGCGGCACTTGTGAGAGCAGAAAGGCAAGATTTCAGTTTTGTAAAATAACAATAAAGCCACTTCCCCCTGACCATAGTTTGGCTTTTTTTGCCTTTTGTAAAATTGAAACCACCTTGGTCCTTGAAGGGCTACTAGCAACCCTGCTTTTCAATGGAGACAGCTCCTCCTGGTGGACGTTTGGTGCCTCTTCAAGTGCTGCCTCTACTTATGGAGGGGAGGATTTATCTATTCCATTTCCGGAGATTGTCTTCTGGAAGAGAGAATGCATGTAGGAAAAAGTAATGTGCAAAACAGATTTTTGTATATATACAAAAGTTCCACTTTATGGTAGTTATCTTCGTTAAGAAGTTCTGTAATTTTAAAAGAAGTATTTAAAATTTTGTTATTGGACTTTAAGAACTTAATTAGTAGCACTGCTTTGCATACTGGAAATATTGTGGGTTAATTTGAGGCATGATTATTGCTAATTGATACATGGTAATCAAAGTAAAAATATGATTTTTATTGTGTAAGAGGGAGCTTGACAGCACTCTTAGAATCAATCTAAACCTCATTTATTATAGAGCCAGTAATTTTTCATCAGAAGCTTTTGCATAGTACAATTATCTATCACTTGCATTCAAGCCAAATAAGAGCTAGATATAAGATCAGCACTAATTTTGTTTCACTCATGGAGTGGGAAAAGTCTTATTCTCATCATCACTTAACTTGTTTCTCCTGTTGCTTCTGTTTTAGGAAATATAGCCATGCTTTGATTCCTGTAGCCTCTTTTACTACAGAAAGTAAAACCAGGTAAGGATTAATACTTATCTAGTCATTTAGTCACATTCTTTTTCTAGCAATATTGATTCCCTTACAATGAATGATGGCACTTGTTTTTATTCTTAATCTGGATGAGGTTAAAAAGGGGGATCAGCTCAACTTCCTGGCATGAAGAAGGGAAGGGGGCACCAAGAATGGCCCAGAGACACTTGCTGACATTTCAGACATTACCCCCCCCCCTTTTCTGGCTGCTTCTAAAATTCCTTTCTCTATCCTCCTTCTTAACTTTGAGATTCCAGTAGCCTGGACTACATTTCCCTGTTCAGTCAGAAGGTGCCCGGCTGTGAGTTTGCAGGGATTTCTGCCCCTGTTGTTAGCAGAAGAGAGGGAGATTAGCAAAAAATTGCAAAAATGTTATTTAAGGCGGTGCAAGGCTACTACTGGGAAGATACACAGTGATGGTGAGCAGATGGAAATCCCAGGGCAACCACGGTGGTCTGTGACCTTAGGTCTATGAAAAAAATTAGAGTTTGAGAACCACAATTCAGACTACATTAAGAATGGAACATAACAAAATGGGGTTTTATTAAGCAAGTGTATAGGCTGCCTCTCCAGTGATCTCCTGATTTCAATAGAAGGGAAGGTTGTTTTCAGAGAAAGAGAATCTGATCTCAATCTCTATTGAGTAACTTCCCTGAAAGTGTGGGTGTGTATGTGTATTCAGGGATACCCAATGGCTAAATCAAAATAGAGTACAACTAGGGAACAGAAATGTAAGTCATATAGTTGAGCTAATCTAGATGAACACATGGGTTTGTGCTGACCATTTATTTTCTCCTTACAGGCCTGTTGATACTACTCCCAGCTTAACTTTCATTACTCAGCAGGCTCCAATGTCTGAGTCAACTACTCATAAAACAAGCCTTCCAGATATTCAGATTGTACCACCACAACTACAGTAAGATGGTCTTGATTTAAGGAACAATTGACATCATGAAAGCTTTTTCCTCCCGTCTTCCTTCTGGGACTTCACATCCATAAAGATAATAATGCTGCAGCTATGAAACTCCATCTTTTTTTCAAGTCAGCTTGGAACATAAATTTGATTTTTTTTTAAATGGAAATATTTCCTTTACCTAGAGCTCAGGGTGGTTTTTTTGTTTTAAAAGGTTTGTATTCAACAAAATTCTGCATTCCAAAGTAAAATCTCAGCACAATATATTCTGATGACAACAAGCTTTGTGAAGGAAGGAAATGCACTGATAAGAGACAATAGCCACGATCCAGTACAGAGTTGTGCTCTTAATTATTGAAATAAATGGTGTTTAAAGAAAACCAAAAGGATTCTGAATTTAATAACTGTTTATTCATGATTAACACCATTATCAGAACCCCGTCTAGCATACAGATGAAAACCCAATTTAACTGATTTTAAGTGCTTGCCACAGTTGCAAAAGGGTAGAATACAAAAGAAGTTCATACACTGTTGGATGAGATAAAACAAAATCCACAGCATGATTTTCAAACTTACAGAAGTATTTTCAGTCAGTTGTTGTTACGCCATCAGAGATATTAAGTCAAAAAGTACATCATCCCATGGCTGTGCCAGTCACATCTTAACCTACGTACACTGCAGATGGAGGGCTTGGATAGTGTAAAGTAATAAACACTTATAGCATGTAGGTTAAAGGACCTGCCTATAACTAGACCTAGAGCCTACAATTAAAGGAAGTTCTCCACTTCCATTTGGTTAAGCAATGGAAAGTAATACCTCAACAAGGACTATTAGGACTATTTTTAAGGAAGCAATTGATTGTTTCTGGAAGGACTTGTAGCACTAAAAAGAAGAAACAATCACACAGGCTTCAAGAATGTTAAATAGTGTGTAGGCACACTGCTCTGAAAGGCAAGGGTGTTCATTTTTCATCTTGTTTACATGCATGGTGGGACTAAATTCCCAAGGGAAAGCAAGGTTTCATACACTCATTGTGCTATTGAAATTGACATTTTCTGTGCATTAAATTCTTGATAACTGCTCACTAAAGTTAAGGACTGATCAGTTTTGCCTTTCTGAAAATATATTGCTCTGTTCTTCAAGGGGACAAAAAAGATGAGTTGGATTTTTTCAGTAGCAGTACATAACAGATGTAAACAGAGTGGTAGCAGTATCTGAAGTTAACTGGCACTTCATTGTAACATTCCATGGAAAACAGAGCTTTGATTTCGGTACTGTGAAAAGAAGTAGACAGAAGAAGCAAATCCTACTTTTGTGCGGCTGCTCACAGTACAGTGTTTTCTCTACTAGAGAAACTCATAAGAAAAATGGGGCTTAGTTAGCTAATACATAGATGAAAAAAAATCTAGAACTTGGAGTTAAAGGCCCATAGCCAATTTGATTTGAAATGAAGGTCCTGAAATGAAGAGGGCAATACTAGCAATGAATGTCCAGAGGTAGCCTGCACTGTGGAAGGTGAACAATACACTCACAAGCAGCATCTCTAACCATTGCAAGAAGCCGCTTTAGTTCCCCATGGTTGGCATAACTACAGCAGGCCTAGCAACAGTGGCATCTTCTTCTTTCCACTGAGACGTGATTGTTTTCAACTGTGTGTAAAACTGCACCCCCTGAAAAAAGAACGAAGAACAAGTGTTAGATGTTCAAGGAGGCTTATCGAAGACACTTTCCTCCTTACCCTGAGGCAAGTGAAGTTTCTACTTAGGAGATCCTCCTGGAAAACGTAACTATCTTTTCTTCAGCACTCAGAAACCTAGCATGCTGTTAAGTTCTCCCTTCCCAGTGTCCATCTCATAGAAGTCTATTCCTATGAACATTGGCTGCAGCAAGTCATCTGGGAGCAAGGAAGGACACAATTATGTATCTTTTCAAAAGCTTACCTGTTTACCATAGAAATTGGTATCTCCTCTGAAGGACCCACGAGAGCCAGTGAAGGAGAACATTGGTAAAGGCACTGGAATTGGAACATTCACACCAACCTAGATGGAGTCAAGCCAACAACTATATTATACAACAAATCAAATGTAAAAAATATAGTAAGCAGCAGTCAGTGACGGGAGCACTAAAGCTGGGCTAGGATCTAAACAACCCAAGTTCAAATCCATGTTCCTCCTTGGACTCGTTAGGTAGTCACTAAACAATTATTCTGCAGCCTTATTTCCTCATTAATAAAACAAATTCAAGCCCAACAAGATTTTCAGGGTATAAGCTTTTGAGAGTCAAAGCTCCATTTGTATCTGATGAAGGTAGCTTTGACTGTCGAAAGCTTAACCCTGAAAATCTAAAGTACTATTGGACTTGAATCTAACTGTTCTACTGCAGACCGGCACAGCTACCCTATGAAAATAAAACAGTTAACACTCTTCCAGGGCTACAGGGAGCCAGTCAGGTGGAAGGGTTAGCGTGCTGGGGTTTGATCTGGGAAATCCAGCTGTCCACAGCTAAGCTCTCTGCACAGCTCAAATATATTATGCTGCCTTACAATGAGTCAGACCAAAACTGGTCCATCCAGCCTAGTACTGTCTTCTCTGATTGGCAGGACCTCTCAGGGGTCTTTTATGACTGATACTCAGAGATTTAGTTGAAGATTGCGTAATTGTGCCTCAGAGGCTCAAACAAGACCAAGGTCTTTTGACATGAAAAAACAACCTTTTGTCCGGAAGACATAACAACTAATGAACTCCAGCCATGAAAGCCTTCGACAACATATTTAACCTTTACATACCTGCCCAACATCCACTAAATGGGAGTATTTCCGAGCAGTGGCACCATTAGTGGTAAAAATTGCAGTCCCATTCCCAAAGGGATTCTCATTTATGATTTCAATCGCTTCATCCAAATTGTCTGCTTCCAGGACCACTAGGACTGGTCCAAAGATTTCCTCCTTATAGCAGGTCATGTTTGGCTACCAAAATAAAAAAAGTTTGGATTGCACAGCACACAAGGAAGATACTGCAAAAATCCTGAAATGATATTCCATAAACCACCAGTGTAGGAATGCCTCTTGTACTTTTGCATACAATGGCTACTATTTCATGCGATGTTCTACTGTTCATAATATTAAGTGGTGCATTGGCCATAGGCTGGTTGAGATGTGGGAAGCTCACATTCAGATTCCAGCTCAGGCACTCAGCTTACTTGTTCACTGTGGACAGTCTCACAGTTTAACCAGTCTTTCTAGGATTGTTGTGAGGCATTCATTCTGACCCTATAAATGTTTACTTCAAAATTAGCCCCACTGAGTTGAATGGAGATGACTCCCATGTAATATACACAGCACTGCAGATTCAAACCCCATTCCGAGCTCCTGGCAGTGAGGGACGGGAAAAAACGCAAAACCTGGCCCTTCTGTTACATATACTCCCTTAGAGTAGCAAAGTTGCTAATTTCAGCTTGATTGGGAATGTACAGTCACGCAGAACTTGTTGCCTGCAGCTTTAACAATTTATCCTTCCTATTATTCTCCTGTCTTGGAGGATGGCAGGAACAGGAAAGACTTTATTCCTCACCATGGAAATGTTCTGCTTCCAGCTGCAATCCTGCCTTCAACAAGAGAGCAGGGAGCAAACTGAGCCCTGCACTTTCTCACAGGAAATGAGCACCAGTCTTCCTTCTTCCTCCACACAGCAAGTTGAATTGAGAAGAACAGTAGCAACAAAAATGCTGAGTTGCTATGTGGAGGGTCTGACTCAAGGAGAACACATCCTCAAGTTTGGTAGAAGAGCACACAGGCAGAAATAGCTTCTATTGTCCTCAGTTCAGTTGTACTGAGGTCTATTAGGAAGGAATGGCCTGCTTCCTTTGTTATAAAATCAATTCACAGTCTTGACACCTGGCTGGTGTTGTGTAACTGTTCATATGCCAGTCATGTCTAAGGTATTCCAAAACTCAGCATCTGAAAAATTGAACTCTGACACACAAGAGCTCATGCTGGAATAAATGTAGTCTTTAAGGTGTCACTGGACTTAATGTGCTACAAAAGCCACCTTGCTAAATTCTAAAACCCAGCATGTCTTATCTTATATACCCAAGATGTCCACTTGCCATTTTTTAACTCAGGAAGAAGCCTTTGTTGTCTCCCAAATTCAATATATTCACCAGCCACCACAAACATGCTGTCAGCCATCCCTTAATTTAAGCACAACCCAATTCACCAACTAGGCACCATGCCATTTCTAACATTTCACTACACACCAAGAAACCACAGTTTGACCTTACTCCATTGAGGACTAGAGGAAGGATCATCCTAAGGCATATGACTTTTCCCTTCCTTAAGTTTTTAATTACTTTGTACGTGACGTGCAACTAACACTTCCACCCAAGCATCTGATAACGATCAGAAACTAGGGGAAAGTCGTTCTGCCCGAGGGAAACTTACTGTTCTCAGTAAGTATTCCCTCACATACTCTTTTTTTTGGGGGGAGGGGTGTCTTTCCCTCATCAGCTGCCACCACCTCCAGGTATTATCTGCCTCTCTCTCAGTTTGATAATAAGAGGGCCATCAAACAGGGCTCTTTGGACAACCATGACCACAATAGCCAAGGCACATAGATAAAAAAACTAGTCAGTCTTTCTATATCTTAAACAAATCCAAGCTTTATTCTACTGACACACTTCCAGAGAGTATACAGGTTACACAACTGTGGTGCAGAAAGTAATAAAAGGAATAAAAAGAAAAGACATGAAACAGACAACACCTGAACATCTGATCTCCCCTTCCCCACTGGGAGATTAAAATGGGCATGTGTGGTCAGGAGGTGCTGCCCTTTACATGGTCAGGCTCCCCCGTCAGTGACACACAGAAAAACAGCTCCTCTTCAGTTCTCCCTCCCACATATGTAAAAATGTCTTTACCAATCTGTGTCTTGGGTTCCAAATGCCTAGACCAGCCAGAACTCATTCAGCCAACAGTATAGCAAAGAGATCCAAAGTTTTCACTCCTGGCTGTAAACACCATGCCTATCCAGCCAGATGAGGTTTCTCAGACCCACTGTTGCCATAAACACTGATCATTCTCAATAAATGTCATCCCCTTCCTAAGATGAAACAGTCCCCCTTCTGCTCTCATCTATGACAGCAACAGCTCACCTTGACCTTAGCCAGTACAGTCGGTCCAACAAAATTGCCATTTTCAAAGCCTTTCACTCTAACGTTTCGTCCATCAAGAAGAATTTTGGCCCCTTCCTTGACACCACTGTCAATGAGTCGGCAGACACGTTCCTTGGCCTGGGGGCTGATCAAAGGCCCAAGATCTGCTCCAGGTTGGTCTCCTAGGATCAGATGGGAAGGCTGTTCAAAATCTAACATGTGGCAATAAAACAGCCAGCAGTGGCTAGGGTGTCAAACTAGGAACTGGGACAGCCAGGTTAGAATACCTACTCTTACCATGGAAGCATGCCCAAGTTACACACTCTCAGCTTAATCTATCTCACAGGGATGTTGTAGGGATAAGACAGAGGACAACAAAACAATGTAAACCACTTTGGGTTCCTGTGGAGAGAAAGGGATTCAAAACCCCTTTCAATGCAGTAAACTGTTCAACTAGGCAAGTAGCAGTTTTTCACAACAACACAATGCAATGAGTTCTAACATGGCTTTTGCTACATAAAGCAAGGAGCATTCTGGGAAGCTCATAATATTATAATCAAGCAGAGATCATCTCTAAAGGAAAGGCCTACAAAAATAGCAAAGATATTACTTCAGTGGCCAATACTTGCCCTGTTAATTTGCCAAACCCATTCATTACAGACCATTTGGATGTTCCAGATCTATCAAATGGCACCATTTCACAACTTTGGCAATATAACACACAAATCAATACCTGCATTAACTCTCAGGTTCTTAGCTCTCTCCACAAGTTCTGGTAGCCATTTCTGAGCCTCTCCCACCATGATTGCTGTAGACAATGCCATGCAACGCTGTCCAGCTGCTCCAAAAGCTGCTCCCACCAACTGATTCAAGGTGTTCTCTTTATTGGCATCTGGCATTACCACTCCATGGTTCTTAGCTCCCTAAAGGAGGAGATACAATTCTTTAAATCACAACAGACTTAACCATCTCCAGCTCATCAGGGACAAAGTGGAATAGACACATGGGGGGGGGACTGCATATGTACTAACAGTTCACACATGTTTGCCTCTAATTAGATAAATAACAAGCGGGGACCCGCAATACTCACGGGGGGGGGGAAAGGAACTCAACGTGGAGGAGGAAGCAGCCCCCCCAGCACCGACGGCGAGGCCCGAGCCCACCAATTCTCCCCCAAACCCCTTGGCACTGACGGCAAGGCCCGCGTGCTGGGCCCACAAAGTCTTCTCCCGTGGCCCCCCTGGAACTGGCAGCAAGGCCTGAGCGGCTCCCAGCCACTGGGCCCGCCGAGCCTTCTCCCACAGCCCCCCAGCACCAGCACTGAGCCCTGAGCAGCTCCCAACCACCGGCCCACCGAGCCTCCCCCCCCATAGCAAGGGAGTTCTGAGCATGCGCAGGGAATGCTTTTTTACTTTTGGGGGGATTTAAGTATCCCCCATATAGTTTTTTTAACCTTTCAGATTTGTCTGCACACCTGGGGACTGCCACAAGTGTGCAGAAAAATCTCTCTGCCCCCCACAGATCTATCATGGATATCCGCAGAGAGGGAGCCTCTTGGCTATTAGTATATAGATGCTGCCTGGAGCTGTTTCAGGATGGAAAATGATACAGGGGAAGGAGCTGAAGAAGCCCCCCTCCATACTGTAAATCCACTCCAAATTGACGCCCTGGTGCAGTTCAGAATTTAGTTCCCAGCAGTTGTGAGAGGAACAGAGTCACACTATGGCAAAACATATGCTAGTAGGGCTTCCTAAACATGCTCTTTAGTTACAGTATATATATATGCTATGTACCTATTACTGGGGAAAATGATAAAAGATCATACATACGCAGAATAAGAAGACAAAATTTTTATGAAGTTTCAAAACATTCAAGTTATTAATATCTAAATATTTTCATAGGACAATCAACAGCTTTCCTAGAACAGAGAACCAACTAGTTCTTTATTTGCCAGGCTTTACCATATTGGCCTGGACTCTCTTGCCGTTCTTGGAACCCCTTTCGTAGATATGTTCTCCAGCCTGATTAGATCCCACAAAGCTGATGGCTTTGATATCAGGATGGTCACAAATAAAATTCACAGCTTAAAAACAAAGCAGAAGAAAAAATGTTAATTATATTTTCTCATTACAAGTTCCTTCTTGGCCCTCACACAAGAGCAGGGTTTTATACTGTTTTCCTCCACTGTAAGGAATCTTAAAGTGATTTACAATCACATTTCCTTTCTCTCACCACAACAAACACCTTGTGAGGTGAGTGGGGCTGAGAGAGTTCCGAGAGAACTGTTGTTACCAAGAACCCATTCCAGATTGCACCATGATGCAGACCAGAGAGGAGCCATGTTCTGAAAGAGGCCAGATGTTCCTCCAAAGAAGCCATGAAGGAATCGCTTCTCCATCACAGCACATTCCTTTTCCCCGAGTCATCCTCAAACAAAGACAATGTTGCCCAGACAGAAACAAAAGATGCAACTGAGCCTTCCTGCCACCGATCCAGAGGACACCCATGACAAGCCACTGAATCATTAAAGTGACTGTACCCTCTTTTTCCCTTGTCTCACACCTTCCCCAAGAGGTGCACTCCCTTAAGCACATCAACCCTAAATTGTCCAGCTGTTGTTTCCTTTGTCCTAGCCACCTTAAGGTATTTTTTCTTCTTCTACATTTCCTGGGAACAAATGACCACCCGGTTCCTGCCTCAGGTCACAAAATTGGCTACTTAAGGGGAACTCTCTGCACATGCAAGAGAGCTCTCAACCCCCAGGTTCCATTCCTGATCAGTTTGGGACCACTCCACGTGTGTCACTGGCCGGCTCACGATCCACTCCTTCTCTCTCTTGTTTTCTTTCCTTTTTGTTGCACGGTCCACTCTTCTTGTTGGACAGGTAACATATCACCCATCAACAATACTCCTGCTAATGCAAAAGTCCCTGTTTTTTCCTGCCTAATCTCTCCTAGATCTCTATTGAGTGTGTATGTGTGCTAATCATTTTTGTATGATTGATAATTATTAAGTAAAAGACCAATTATCACATCAACCTGGTCTCATCTATTCATGGGCGCTGGGAATTCCAACTCTGGTATACACAGGTTATGACCCTGCGCTATATGCCAATTGCCCTTTAATTTCCCACAAAATATTCACAAAGGAGACTTCATCAAAGTGAAATGCATATATTGTCTGGAATAAATCTATCCATATAATCCATCATAGGAAAATGCAGATGCCAAAGAATAAATATACAAGATAAATATAAAAAAAGTCCCACACTTTTCCTAGGTAAACAAAGAACAACTACTGAGAGACTCATTCCATCTCCTTTTAAGATAATGCTTTTGACCTTGCCCAGTGTTGAAGTAATACAAAAGCAGACAATATTTGCATATAAGCTTTTCTCTTTGATGAAGTCTCCTTTGTGAATATTTTGTGGGAAATTCAGCTCACAGTTGTTTTTTGTTATTCTTTGCTACTTTTTACTGTGTGCTATACTGTAGAGTCCACTGCTCTTAACTACTACACCACACTGTTTTTTAAACAGGTAGTTTTTCCTTCATTTTTCCCACATCCCAACCATTAGATTCTCACTGAATTTCTGTAAGTCTATGAAGAGTCTGACTTGGCTTCATGAACCCTTCTCCAGTACTCTTCAAGCTCCCAGACTACCATTAGCTGAATGATCAAGTTTTCTTCATCTGGATTAGTATTTGCAAAGAAAAGTTTGGGTTTTCCCAGCCTTTCAATGGCATGCTTTTCTTATGAAGTGAGGATTCATCTGGATCAGTGTTTTGATATACACACACACAAGCAAGTGGGAAAGATACATATTTGGAATTAGTTAATAATTACCTGCACATGAGAAGGTGTCATAGCTTTCGGGGAAAGATGGGTGTCAAGAGACTAGGCCTCTCTTAACAGCACAGTGTATTGGTTAAAAGTAGTGGATTCTAATCTGGAGAACGGCATTTGATTCCCCACTCCTCTACATGAAGCCAACTGGGTAACCTTGGGCCAGTCACAGTTCTCTCAAAACTCTTTCAGACCCACCTACCTCACAAGGTGACCGTTGTGAGGAGGGGAAGGGGATGCAATTCTAAGCAGCTTTGAGACTCAAGACAGAAGAAGGCAAGAGTATAAAAACCTTTTCTTCATCTTCTTGTTCAAGCTGAAACTTTGGTTCAGACTAAGGCCTACACAGAAGGTGAAAAATTTCTGCTCTCTGAACATTAAGGCCAAACTGACAGACTTAGAGATCCAAGGGAGAATGGGAGGCATTCACAGGTACATGATGTCTTATCTGCCGTAAACATTTAAACAACAAGGGGAAAAGACAAGTGTCACAGGAGTCCCAAATATACAAATTCCACTAGTAGAAAACACCATCAAAGATTGCTAAAACAATATATTAAACAATTATAAAGTTGGTGGTGTCACAACAACATTTATGCATACTCTAACCATAATAAGGCATAAGATACAATATTTCTTCCTTTGAAGACATAAAGTCCATGTACTCAGTGTAACTTGATAACTTGATAGTGCAAAGAGCTCCTTACACTATGAACCTTGTGGTCTGTTATTGCTGAAATCAGGTTCCACTTACACAGCCGGCAAACTGAAGAAGTCGAAGGAAATGCATCTTCCAAATATCTAGAATGGGCGTCTTTGCAAAGGCTGTTTGGAACATGTTATGACTCTGAGGACTCCTCCTATCAAGTTATCAAGTTACACTGAGTACATGGACTTTATGTCTTATCTTCAAAGGAGGAAATATTGTATCTTATGCCTTATTATAGTTACAGTATGCATAAATGTTGTTGTGACACCACCAACTTTATAATTGTTTAATATATTGTTTTGGCAATCTTTCATGGTGTTTTCTACTAGTGGAATTTGTATATTTGGGACTAAACATTTAAAGGCTGCCCTAAGGGCCTACATATTCCTTCTTAGCACAAGGATTTGTAGGAACTTGTTAATTGGATCTGATGCAGCTGTAGAACATCAGAAGCTAATTGGCAATCTCACCTGATTGGTTACATCATCTGATCAGTAACATCAATGGTCAATTGGACTATATCATTGGGCCTATATTTGATTGGCTAGCCTAAATCATGCCAGCACAGGCCACAAGGCATAAAGGAAAGAACCTTCATTTGAGTTTTGCCCTTTGCTTGAACCATGGCAGCTGGGCACCTGTTGATTTTGGAAACTATCTTGGGGTGAGCCATGGCAGCTGGGCACCTGTTGATTTTGGAAACTATCTTGGATTTTGCCTTACTAAGCAACTTCTGGATTAGAGAACCATTGTTTGTAAATATCTAGGTTAGCTATCTAGCTTTGTTATTTTATTCTCACTGTTCTTTGCTCTTTGTTGTATATTCCTGCACATCCTTTTAATAAATCACTTTAATATTAATTATATTTTGGTGTGTTCTTGATTTCAGGAGGATTCAGGAAACTGTCATTGGACCTCACATTGAGTGTACAAATGTACAGGGTTGGTTTCTTGTTTAGACTCTGTAAGGGCTAGAGGCTTGGTCCTTTGGTCTCTGACTGTATGGGTAGTCAAATGGGGTGCTGGCAGCAATACCCTGAAGTATGGAGTTTAGCCCACTTGGCAATGCTGTGGAGTGAAAACCCTATTTTTCCAGCAGGCCCATGCCTGCTGTATCAGCAATCTGTCCTTGTGTTGCTACTGCTGGGAGAAGCAAACTATAAATGCTTTAAGCAAAATGCAATCAAATATGTGGGATTTATGTCTCTCTGCCCAATAACATCCTTGTCAACCCCTTCCTGCCTACACAAAAGAACCCCAAGACTTTGAATGTCTGCCTTGCAACTACCTTCATGTTGCCCGTGGATGATGTTCAGTGTTCCATCTGGGGCACCGGCATCTTGCAACAGCTTGGCAAGGAACATGAGGGCTCCCGGCACACGTTCTGAAGGCTTCATCAAGAAGGTGTTACCACACACCATAGCCATGGGGTACATCCAAAGAGGAATCATGGCTGGGAAATTGAATGGTGCAATGCCTGCACATACTCCAAGAGGCAAGCGATAGGTATAAGTGTCCATATCTTTAGTGATGGAGGGAAGGGTCTCGCCCAGCATGAGGGATGTCACACTGCAAGCATGTTCAACAACCTCTGCAACAGAGAAAAGGCACTACTCTGAGTACTTGCTACTCAGCCTTCAAACACTAGTATGACTTGCTTATGACCTCTAGCATAACTAAGCCATCACCGTTCATAAGTATTTCCTCTTCTGCCAGCAATAGCCATCTGTTTGAGAATCACTTCCATTCAGAGTATGAACTATTCCAGGGGACACAGACTACACTAACAGCAATATATTGTAAGGGAGAGGCATCAAACTCATTTGCTATGAGGTCCAGATCTGACATAAATGTCACTTTGTTGGGCTGGGTCATGTGTGCCATAAAATGCAGTGCCAGGTACTGGAGATATAAACTTTATAAAGGACAGCAACTGGTAAGCTCCGAATTGGTGTGTCCTCACTGCAAAGCCCCATGGGTTGGGGGGGGGGTGCAGAGGAAAACCCACAAGGGCAGACTGGAGAGCCAGAAGTGCAGCGCTGGGCAGATGCTACAACAGAGGATTGTCTGCATCCCTCTCACATGCAAACGCTGATCCCTGTGGTCATCCGGGACAGCATCCCCAAAGATGCAGGATGAGTGGAGAGGTATGAATGCGGCTGCAGTGGCTCCAAATTTACCAGTCCCTGATACGAAGGGGTTCTGCTTGACTGCTGCAGACGAGGTTGTCCTGCTGTGCTGAAGCCACAATTGGAGTGGATCCACACACCCACCCCGAGCAGACTCCTGTTCCCTCCCTTGCACCAGCAGCCCTGGATGGGTCGCTTCCAGCCCGTAGCTCTCATGTTTGACACCCCTGTGTAAGGGGTATTACCAAGAAGGGGGGAAATGGAAAACAAACATCTAGTATATGAAAGCCTAAATTGAAAAAAAAAAGCAAAGTGATGAAAAGAAGGTTTAAGGCCCCAAAGAGAAGAGGATTCTGTTCGTACTTTGTCAAGGAAAGCTTTAAGAAGGCTATACTTCTAAGGTCCTAGAACTCTAGCTCAGCAACCTTCCACTCTTCCTTCAGCCTATGAAAGCTGTTATACATGTACAACAAGAGGCGTACGCAAGCAGCTTACGGAGGCCTCGAAACACATCTCCCTCAGCATCAGCCAGGGTCTTCCCTTGCTCCAAAGTGATGAGTTTTGAAATTTCTTTCTAGAGATAAAAAAGAAGCCAAGAAGATATGGAAAGGGTATCTCAACAAAAGGTGAACACAGAGACCCTCTCACTCCACCCATGGAAACAAACAGCAAGAGACACAACACATTATCATCACACAATGAGGAAGGGACGACTCACACAATCATTCTGTGTTTGGCAAGATGTGTCTCCCCCCCACCGTCCCCGGTTCTCAGTGTGAATGGGGCCATGTAGATTATTCATCTTGGTGAAAGGGGACCTAAAGCGGCTTGCATCATTCTCCACTCCTCCATTTTAATCTCTCAAGCCTGTGATGTAGGCTAGGCTGAGAGAGGGTGACTGTTCCAAGGTCACCCAGCAAGCTTCCATGGAAGAGTGAGGATTCAAACCTGGGTCTCCCAGACCCTAGTTCACTGTACCATATTGGCTCTCTGGAATATTCAGGGCAAGTGGAAGAGATAACTGTGAAACCTCATATTTGGTTAAGCAAATGTTCCTCACCTTCACGTTCTCAAAAAACACTTCCATCTGACACCAAAACTTCTTGAAATAATGTTTAGCTGGCAAACAAATACCACAGACACTCTATCAAATATATTTCTAGGCAGGCTATAATGTTTATTTTAAGCTACTTTTCAGTTCAGACCTGTTTTTATTAGCCTGGTTCTAATGGCTTGACTCGCTTTATAATCTTTTATTGTTTGATAATATTCTTTTTATTGAGAGCTGACACCAGTTTCTGGAGAGGTGGACATTTTCTAAATAAATCAGGAGCAGCATAACACCTTTTAATTAAAAGTGTAAAGTGATTTGCAACCTTTATGTTCACTTGTCTTTACAATCAATTTGTGGGGAAGTTTGTTATAAGCCCAGTTTTATACCAAATGAGTCAAGAGCTGCTGTAGGCTCCTCACCAGATTGTCTTTGATGAGCTGCTGGTATCGCAGGAAGACTTGCTGCCGGCTCAGAATAGACGTCTCAGACCAATTCCGGAAGGATTTTTTGCACGAAGCCACAGCTGCTTCCATCTCACTCTGTGTGGCTTTTGGGACACGACCAACCACTTCATTGGTGGCCTGTTAGGACAGCAAACCAATGAAATTGTCATTTGTTATGCCAGCACCCCTATAGTTGTCTAGGGCTTCAGACAACCCCAGAACACAAAAAGATGCCCCCCACATAAACACTTTTAGACCCAGAAACCACATGGATCAGACCCAGCCTCAAATAAATTAACGGTCAGTTAAAATGAGTTACAATGTGAAGAGACTCCCTTTGCTTTTAAGATGGATTTTCTTGCCAAAGACCTTGATTAGATGAGGTCATTTCAGATTCCAGCCACCAAAAAATGGTGTTTGTGACAAAGGACAAATATTAAAGGCTTAAAAAAGAATTCTTAAAACAATGTCTAACACCTCAAAGAAAGCAAACTAGAGACTTCCGATTTCGGCTACTCGCATTGCGGGTGCGCACCGACGGAGCTCCGTACGGTGCAGCCCGTTAAATGGCAGATAGGAGGGGTGCTGGATGATTCCGCCCCCCCCGGAGCTCTTTGAGGGAGCTCCCAGCCATGGGGCTTGAGATGTGCCGCTCTCGAGGCTTGATGCCGAGGGATTGAGGCACTCTTTGCCCCGAAGGTCCTGCTGCCGTGGCACCATCATGGCTTCCAGAGGCACATACCAGGTGAGCACTCAGGAGCTTTTAGCAAAGACTGCAAGTTCCTCTAGCATCTTTAAATGACAGAAGATGAAATGTGAGTAAATCTATATGAAGCACATGAACTTTTAAGTGAGTTCTGAACCCCCAGGGGAAAGGGAGAGTTCATTCCCCCTCCCTTCTTGTATACAAACGAAAGACCTTACCGAAAAGGGGGAAGCTGTATCTGAACAAGCAAGAGCAGTGTTATATAAAGCGTACTTTAAATAAGCTTCTTTTTGAACTCTTTAAAAACTTTCCTGAAAGATAAACAATGACTAATCGGCAAGAAAAAATGGCAACAAGACTGAAGCCTCCTTCTGGAACTGGCAGAGTAACAGCTCCAGTGTCAAAACCGGAAGCAAATACAGACTTTCCCAACATGTTGGCTGCAGCATTGCGACCCCTACGGGATCAGTTGACAAAAAATCCAAGGGGTCTTATAGAAGTCAAATGCGAGATTGTTGATGTACTAAACAATAACAGGTAACCTGTTAAAATTGGCCTCTGTGCTGGATGACTGGAAAACAGCAAATGTTACTCCAGTTTTTAAAAAGGGCTCCAGAGGGCATCTAGGGAATTACAACTAGCCTAACATCTTTTCCAGATAAAGTAGTAGAACCTGTTATCAAAGAGAGAGTTATTAAGCCCATCAAGGAACAAAGTCTGCTGAGGGAAAATGAACATGGCTTCTGGAAAGGGAAGTCCTGCATTACCAAACTCCTGGAGTTCACTAAGCAGATTAACAAGCATACAGAGAAGGTTGATCTGGTAAACATCACGTACTTGGGACTTCCAATAGGCTTTCGACAACATACCTCATCAAAGACTCCTGAGTAGGCTTAGCAATCATAGGATAAGAGGATTAAAAGTTGGTTAAATGGCAGGAAGCAGAGAGCAGAAATAAATGGACAGTTGTTGCAAAGTGAGTTCTCAGAACGATCGGTATTTGCACTGGTGCTATTTAATTTGTTCATCAATGATTTGGAATTGGGGCTGCACAATGTGGTAGCCCAGTTTGCAGATTATATCAAATTATTCAGGATGATAAAAACCAAGGCAGATAGTGAAGGGCTACAGGAGGATCTATTGAAATTGGGTAAATGGGCAACAATGTGGCAAATGAAGTTCAACATAGGTAAATACAAGATAATACACACTGGACAGCCAACAACAGGGCACAGAAGCCAAGGCCTTCTCTTGATGTTGCCTCCTAGCTCTGGGATTCTGAGGATTAATGCCTCTGAATGTGGAGGTTCCCCTCAGTCATCATGGCTATTAGCTATTGAGAGACATCCTCCATGAATCTATCTAAAGAAGTTTATTCCTGTGGCCATCACTACATCCTCAGGCAGCAAATTCAACATTTGAGTCACTCTCTGTGTGAAGCAGTATTCCATACAAACCTGCACTTCTAGTTTTCAACTGAAAACCACTGTAGGCTATTGTTTCAATGCACAGAGAAGACTCTGATCTTTACGGTTAAAAGCTTTACATTGGATAAGAGAGTGAAACCCAGTTCAGTTTTCACACCTGAAATAACTATGCTTATACTGCACTAGGACTGTACCTCCTTGGTGCTACTCAGTAGTTTAGAATTCCTGAGCTACTGGATCCCTGTAATCAACCACCATGTTTTGTGGCTGAGGTGATTTAGAAGCTAAGCAGGTACTGGTAGCTCTACAAGCTTCCACCTTTCAAAAGAAGGGAATGACAACTCTGTCCCTTCCCCTGAGGCTAAAAGCCCCTTTTCCCATTTGTACAAGACTAAGAGGGCTCTATTTTTGTATATCTGTATGGATGTGAGAGAGCTCACTTTCTGTCCTTGCAAAGGACTCATGTACCCTATGGAGTATCCTTGTGGACCCTCAGAAATCCCCAAGTCCCCTGTTTGAGAAATACTGGTCTGCCCTTCGCAGAAAGGCTTAGGAGTAATGCAGAGTAGTGTCAGGGATTCCATAAACAGACTAATTCCAAATTCCAATGGACTAGCCATATTAGTCTGTGGCAGGTATCTTGTGACAAAAAGGCTAACAGATTTAATGCTCAATAGACATTTGTGGGCTATAAGCCCACTTCCATACATTAATGCATCTAACATTCACCTCACTGAAGTAGCCCTGAGCATACAGAAAGCTGCATTAAAATTCCAATTAAAAACTTATTTCCTTACTGTTTCCATAAAAAGTAGAAGTAGGGTCAAATATCTGTCAAGAATGTCTTCTGACAAAAGAGAAAGTAAAAGCTTTCATATTCAAGTTAATTCAATGCAATTCTAAGGGTTTTTAAAAATATACACTTTTTAAATATTGTCAACTACACTATCTTTTTGAGCACAAAAAGAAAATCTGCTTTACTTACTGGGTTGAGAATCTCAATCCATTCATTGCTTTTAGACTCAACAAACTTGCCATCAATGAATAGTTTAGTTGTTGGCTGTGGAAGACAAAGCACTGGTCAGTGGCTAGATTATCAAATGCAACCATTATTATTATTTCTACTAGGAGTAAGGCCCATTGTGGGAAGAAATACAACGAGCTGTAGAACGAAGCTCCAGATGAGTGTCCCAGCTGTGGCTGGTGGGGTGGCAGGGGGAAGGGGAAAATAGAGGGAGGCAGGGCTGTCTCAAGTCATTTTGCTGCCCCAAGTGGGGAGTACAGGAGAACAGCCTTATAGTAATAGGTATGGTTCCCTCCACCTCTGACTTATTTTTTTTTTGGGGGGGGTGTTATGTAGTGGCAGCTAAGGTAGAAAAGGACCTCCTCCTGTGCCATGTTTTCTGGGTTCCAAGGGTCTGGAAAGTGGTTCCATAGCCAATTACATGGTTGCCAACTCTGGGTTGGGAAATACCTGTAGATATGAGAGGTAGAGCCTGGGGAGAGCAAGGTTTGGGGTGCAGAGGGACCTCAGCAGGGTATAATGTCGTAGAGTCCACCACCCAAAACAGCCATTGTCTCCAGGAGAACTGATCTTGGTCATCTGGACATCAGTTTTAATAGCTGGAGATCTCCAGGTGCTGCCTGGAGATTGGCTTATATTAATTTGGGGCTATGCAGTGGCAGCTAAGGTAGAAAAGCACCTCCTCCTGTGCCATGTCTTCTGGGTTCCAACGGTCTGGAAAGCGGTTCCATAGACAATTATATGGTTGCCAACACTGGGTTGGGAAATACCTGTAGATTTGAGGGGTAGAACCTGGGGAGAGCAGGGTTTGGGGTGGGGCGGGACCTCAGTAGGGTATAATGCCATAAAGTCCACTGCCCAAAGTAGCCATTGTCTCCAGGAGAACTGATCTTGGTCATCTGGACGTCAGTTGTAATAGCTAGGAAATTTTCTGTAGGGGGAATGATTTGCTGTGGCTGGGAAACATCGTGATTTCTGGGAGATCTCCAGGCCCCACACGGAGACTGGCAACTCCAGTGACCATTTAAGGGAAGACTGGGATATGTATTTTACCTCAGGACACGTTCAGTGACTCGCAACAGCAAACTGTTTAGAATGTTAGAGGCAAAGGCCAATCTACCCGCATTTGCAAATAACCTCTGTGTTCCGACTGGCTGAGGGGAGAGGAACAGCAAACTGTTTAGAATGTTGGAGGTGGGTCTCAGGCGACACAGCCAGTGGATAGGGACAGCTTCTGAGTGACACATCAGGGAGCCTATTGATTTGGGAGCATGTGGAATGTTCAGCAACGTGCCACCACTAACAGAGAATTATTATATAGAGAGATTAACACACCATACATGTATACAGTGCTTGGCAGACTAGAAGACAATTGGTCCTCACTCTGAGGAACCTGCAATCTCAATTTATTTATTTATTTTATTCAATTTTTTAGACCTAAGATAAACAGCCAAAGAAGGAGAAGGACACAGAGGCAGGAATAAACAGGAGAGTGACTTGTAGGAGAGTGGAAATCCCTTTTGCCATCCAACCCCACATGCTCTGGCTCCAGTTTCCTCTTCCTTTCATTACCTGCCTGGTCTTTCTGCCTTCCCCCACTCTTGCCTACCTGCCTGCTTGGTGGTTCTACCTGGAGATGCTCACACACCTGCCCATCCTTCCTGCCTGCCCTCTCATTGCCCACTGGCCTAGTCTTCTTGGCTCCCCCTCACCTGTCCATATAGCCTTCCTTTCCACCAGCCTCATCCAGTTTCTCTCCCCTCCCCCCTGGCTCGCCTGCAGCAATCTTGTAGTTGGAGTTGAACAGAATTGTTCACTCCACCATTAACCATGGAGAACATGTGGAAGAAGGCTTTTTAAAAGGGTAAATTCTGTTTCTTCCTTCCCTATTGATTCCCTAAGAAAACAACTTACCACTGAAGATGAAAAGAAAGATAAGGAATGCCAGTTAAGGTTCACCTTCCCAGGGATCTACAAAACAGAAAAGCAAGAAGACACAGCTACTGTACTTTTATTTTATTATTTTTTAAAAACAGAGCTAGTTAAATCATGATCCATGTGTTAGTTCTAGAAGATGTTTGCTTAGCAAAATTAGTGCATGGCAAATATGTTTGTAGCGATATTACACAGCTGAACTCTACATGAAATAAAGGAATTCCTCACAAAAACATCAAGTCTAGCTCACGCTTCATAATCACACAGCAGAGCTCAACTACGACTAAGCCAGCAGTTCTCCTATGCACACTTACCAGGTAGTATATCCTATGATTTCAATTGGACGTACTTCCAGGTAAGCACACAGATTAAGAACTCTGGCAAAGACTATCAGAAAGTAAATACAAAGGCAGGAATACGTTGAAGGCAAACTATGACCCACCAGCAGTTTAGTGGTCAGAGTGGAAAAGTAAAGTAGATTCAGAGGAAGGGGAGCCAACCTGCAGCTCTATAGGGGCTGTTCAACTCTGAGCCTGTTCACCAGTCCCTGGCCCAGTCAACGCCAAGCAGACCCACTCCCCGTGACAGGGAGCTCAACTAGATCCAGGCTGCCAGAGATCCTCCAGGAAGTTTCCTAGTAAATTAAAGGCTCAGAACAGCCCAGCACCCCAACATGCCCTAACTGCTAGGAATCTTCCAAGAAACTCTATCGTATCGCCAGAGTTCAGGGTGGCATACGCGCCTCCATCTTATATTCACAACAACCCTGCCAGGTAGAAATACTGGATTCGGTAGTCTGCTAGGAGCACCTTTCTGTATGGGTTAGGGCCACTTAACGCAAGCTGCGGCCGTGGGCGGACCGGACTTTTCTCTCCTCTGAAGGGGGTGTGGCGAGTGTGACGGAGGCAGGCAGGAGGTCAGTCCCGTTTCCAGACGTAGCCCAGCACCGCCTGAATAGTCTAGAAAGCCGTGCAAGCAGCGGCAGGAAAAGGGTAGAGACAGAGTTCAAATCTGACAGAATCAAACCACTTAAAAAGGCGACTCCCCTCCCTCCGGCGCTGCTGCCCCATAATGCAATCTCACCCCGAGCCAGAGACGCCGCCCTCCCTGGGAACCCCGAATTGCAGCCACAACCGCCATGCTGCCCACGACCACCGGCCAATGCCTCCCCCCTCCCTTTCCGCCGAAGCCACCTCAACAATCGGCCCCTCTCTTAACTGACCAATGACAATAGGATGCCAGCTCCAGCCCCGCCCACTTAAAGCTTAGCGAACCAATAGGATATAGAGCTCGCTTTGTTTATCTTTCCCCGCCCATCTCGCACCCTCCCCTCGTATCCAAATTTCCATTGGCTATTAATGCGTAAACGCCCCCTCTAGAAGGATTCTTATTGGATAATTCTTTTTTGCTGGGTCTTGGCAGCTAGAGTTCAATGGGGAGCTATGAGTGAGTGAAGGGAGGACGGGGCAGCGGAGCGGAGACTCGGTTCGTCTTATGTTTAGATTCTCTCTGTGGGCGGCCGTTGGATGTCACGTGATGGGCAAAGATGGCGGTCTCTACGGAAGGTGAAATGGGTAAGGTGTTCTGGTAACATTAGTGTCTCTTAGTAACCGGTAATGTTGTTATGGCTTGGTTTACGCATCAAGCAGAATGTGGTGCTGGAGTAGGTTGTATTATATCAGACTGTAGTGGAGCGAATTTTAAAACTTTCTCCTGTATGAAAGTGTTCTGCAGATTAGAAATTAGCATATCAAGAACAAAGCTATTCGTATGCTGTAGTGATTTTCCAATTAGTAATTCAGGGGATCTGTGAATAATGTGAGCTCTCGCCTGCGGTTTGAGGTCCGTTGTATTTTCTGCCACTTCTTTTATCACTTTCCTGCATGTTTCGACCAGATCTCAATGTTTACTTTGGGGTAAGTGCGCTTGAAATCACTGAGGCTTCCTTTTGAGGACATATATCTATAGTAGAGTGGGTGTAATCCAATGGCCCCGGTCACACGGGCCAGATAACACGGGGGAGGAGGCATGGCTCTTTGCGCTGGCGCAATTAGACCCACCAGAACGTGATCAGATGTGACGGCGGGAAAGCCGTGTGGCGGCGTGATCACACGGAACGATTCCATTGGCAGTCCGTGGCAAACCATTTGCTAGTACATTTGTTGAGTTACTTTTTAACTGCACAGCTTTGGCAGCACACCACAGGTTGGCCACAGGTGCGCTACGCTTGCCAGATGTTGCGGTGTGATCGCGCCCTGAAAATCCGCCCAGCATTCGTGGCTCTCCCGCAGCAAATTTGGCGTTTGAACAGGGCCTATATGTACTTGTCTGGGAGTAAACCATACTGCTTGCAGAGGGACTGACTTCTCAGTAGACTGCGTAGAGTTCAGCTTCCGAGTTCATGTTTTTGGGGGATTTAAAGGGAAACTCCAGGAAAGATTCGCTCTTTTTCTGGTCAGAGTGAATTATTAGGAAGGATGGTTATAGATTACAGAATATTTCCTTTGTTGAGGTAGCTCTTATAATCTCATCACGTGTATGTTTCCTAAGTCTGAATGGATCCAGTGAAGTTTAGTCCTAAATAATAATAATTATTAAAAATGAGCATGCATACGGAGTCCGCATATTAGTTGAAATGTGTTTAAGTAGGTTAGAGGGGCCAAGTTGTCATCATCTGTTTCAGACCACATTTAAAGAGGGCTAAGGAATTCCTTCTTTATCCTACATAAATATAGTAGCCTAAAATGATGCAGTCACTTGTATCATGCACTCCTAATAACAAAAGGGACATGCTTAAAACACCCTGATTCTCACACCCAGGATCACTGCCCACCCTCATCTTTCTTATATACACTATGCTGTTAAACATTTCTGAAAGTTCTGCTGTATTTGATGTATTAATTTACTTTGAAATACTTGCCTTTTGCCTATCTAAAAGACAATATATGTATATTTTTAGTTAAAGAGATGCTGGAAAAACAAAACCAAGAAAATTCAGTTGTACCTTTTAGGCTACTTTTTTTTAAGACAGCATAAGGTTTTGTAGGTTAACCAACTTCCTCAAATATTAGTGGTACTGTTAGGTGCAGGCTGGGGAAATCAGTTGGTGGAATAACAATCTTTACTTAGATTTTTGGGGCTTTTAGGCTGTGTTCATTGATTAAAAACTTACCTCACTGAACGTTTCGCTGTCCTTTGCTGCCGGCATCTTCAGTAATCAGACTGTTGTAAAACTAAAGCAGTTTAAGGAGGAAACTCTATATCTGTGCTATGTATGCGGAACCTCAGTTTGTGTCCTTCTGCTGACATCACTGGTGGAATGTTTATGCATGAACTCTTAAGAGGACAATTATTATTAGCTTTGCTTACAATCTGCATATCTCACTTGGACTCAAGGCAGATTACAAATATAAGAACTATTCAGTCAATTAGCAAGCAAGTGTGATAAAATATTTGCATCTGATAGGGACATTCCATCATAAAACAGAATAATGCAGTGGGGCTGGGCAGATTACCGGTGTGAGAAAGGCTGTTCATTTAATCAGTAAGCAGCATAAAAATGTGATTAAACAATTTAGTCAAACATGAAGGTTCTGAAAAAAGAAAAGTATGCAGTGGAACTGAGAGTGAAAAATTGGAAAAATTACAGAAGCACACACAAATTATCTAGGGCAATGAAACAATTTAGGTAGAATTTTCCCTTGTATGAAACAATTCAATCTAACAGCAAGATCCTGAATAAAATGAAATAATGCGGGAGTACACATGAGGAGGTCAATGATACAAAAACAAAATTGCTTTCAGGTTTTTAGGGTGGAAGAAACTGTAATTCATATTTAGGCCTTGATAGGCACAGCCAGATGCTTGAGTATATTCCTGTTCTGCTGCATTGCATTCCCTATACCCACCTGGATTCAGTTGTTTAAGGATGATTACTTTGCAACATATAAAAAGTTCAACTGGACCATTGCTCTGTGTGTGTAGTGACAGGCTAGACTGCACAGGGCCTTGATATTCTCAATATGAGAAAATGCATGTTGTGTACACATGCCAGCTTTCACATATAGGGGCCCTGTGGAAGGAGTTAAATCTGAGAACTGATGGGTCTTGCTAATTCACACAAAAATTTTAATAAGCCATTTCTTTACACGCACCCGGAAATACCAGAGCTATTAATAGGGTCCATTGAACTGTATACTACTGGCTTGGAGATGTTCTTGCTGAATATGATGATTGAATTCATGATGTTCTTCTAGGTGCAGACTTGGAGGCCTCACTGCTGAGTTTTGAGAAGTTGGACCGGGCTTCACCAGACCTCTGGCCAGAGCAATGTATGTTGCGCTTGAGTGGGACATGCAGAACAGCGGGTAGAAGCCCTGCGGTGATTGTGGTGTGCTCAGACTTTGTAATCTGCTGTTAGGGAGATGCTGAGAGTTATTTCCTAATTCTGTTTACCAACAAAATTAGTAAGTTGTCATGAAGAGCCTTTTTCATTTCCATTCTCTGTTGAAGCTCTGGGCTTATGGGCTCTTATGGCTGTGAGTATATAAAGGCTTAACAAATAGGGTTGCCTGGGGAAAGGCCATTCTTATTGGGAGAAATCTAGTTCCCTATTGCTCTTTGCAAACTGGTTCTAGAATAGCACACAAGGATGAACGTGTGCATTCCTTTACAGAGACATGCTCATTATTTTTTGTTCAGAAAAACATACTCAGTATTGTATACTGCTAGTTTTCTCTTTAACAGTTCTGAGGGTCTCCCCCCATTCCTTCAGTCCAGTAAAAGGATATACATAGTTAGGCTTCCAGTGCCTTTCTGCAAAGTTAGGTAGTGGAAGTTGCCTTCTGTATGTGCGTTTTTCTTTTGTGGGGTACACTTTTGAGGGGGAATAGCAGCAGGTTTACAGCATAGTTCATTCTGACTCAGAAAAATTTCCTGGGATAGGTGTGTATTGATTAGTGCTTAAGGCATAACCAGTACACTTCCAGCCATTCTCCAGTTGCTTAAACAGTTTACAACTGTTTTAAAACAATATTGATTGGAGTATGGTGAAGGATGAATTGATAAAAGAATAAATATCTGCTACTGAAAAACACAGAGAAGGAATGAGGCCAAACTAAGAGGTGGGGGCTCTTTCTTGGCTTATGAAGCAACTCACTGGGATGTATGTATATAACACTAATTGCAAAACTGGGTTCAGATCCAGGATGAAACACTCACTATGTCTCTTCTTAGAATGTAGCATCTGCTTTAGCCTTTGCCTAAGTGAGTTTGTGTGTGCTAGCTATTTAGTTATGGATTAGGCACACTAACTTGCTTAGGCACAGAATTGAGGGAGGAGTTGTGCTTCAAGTAAAAACAGTGCCATACCGTGGAATATGAAATACTGTTTGGTGACGGAACAGAGGGAAAATGTTAGGAGAGAAATAAGTTCTGATAATTGCACAGAAGTAACTGGATGTAATGCAAAAGTGTTGCACATTGTAAAATCCTCTATAGTTAAAATGAGTAGTCCTTTGTACTGAAAGTCTCTAGGAAATCTGATTGAGTTGTAATTGCCTTTTGCAGAATGGGCATAGTATTGTTTTCTGATTAATTGTTTTAATATATTTTAATGTTTTAGTTTTCTTATATATTTTATTTGCCTTTGATGTAAGCCACCCTGAGCCCTGTTTCAGGGAAGGGCAGCCTAGCAAATTGAATGAAATAAAATAAATAAATGATGTAATAATGTATCACTGTAACTATATCTGCTTTGTTTCCAGTACCAGGTGTTGCAGAATTTGCTGCATCTTTTAAATGTGTAAGTAATACCAGATTGCAGCTTAGTCTTTTTTATTCATTTCTGCTCTGCTTTTGCTATCTTTCTAGAATTCCTATCATGACCAAGGTGTAAGACTTCTATGTGTCATTTTACATAAACTTGAGAGCCAGTGTGGTGTAATGGTTAAGAGTGTCAAACTAGTATCTGGGAGACCTGGCTTCAAATCCTCACTCATGCCATGGAAGCGCTCTAAGTGACCTTGGGCCAGTCACATTCTCTACTTAAGATACCTCCCAGGGTTGTTGTGAGGATAAAATGGAAGAGAATGAAGAATGATGTGAGCTGCTTTGGATCCCCCTTGGGGAAAAGCATAAGCAGGGGTCACTGGGGATGGGGGTAGTATTGCATTTCCTGTGTTGTGCAGTGGGTTGGACTAGATGACCCTTGAAGCACCTTCCAGCTCTGTTTCAATGTTTCAATGAATTAAATTAATAAATGAGCTCGTATGATACTCATGCTAGCACAGTAGATTATTGGTGTGTGTCTGTGTGTGTATATGAGTGATTAACATTGTTACTGAGATTATCAGATGTGATGAATTTGCTCTATTTATTGGGATAGAGCAGGGAAGTTCAATTCAATTAGTAAAAAGGGCTAAGTGAGCACTACATCATGGGCTCGGACAATTTTTTTACACTTCTTTGCCAAGGCCAGCCCTACTATTTGGGTGCGATACCATTGTTTGACATGCCATTAAAATGAGGCAAACTGGCAATTACTTGTAGTGCCATCCTGTGCAGAGGTAAAAACACATTGAAATCAGTGGATTTGAAGTAATTCTGTATAAGATTGCACTGTTAGTTTATTATATCAACATTTTGTGGGCAAGTATAGATTTTCTGTCTTCACCATTAAAATGTCTTAAGTAATGTCTGTCATTTGCATATAACTTCTGAAGGTGCATAGATACGTTATATCTAAGCAGAGTGGTTTCTTAGGATATGCTAAAGAGCCACATTTTATATCCGATAATTCCAAGTTTATCCAAGCAATAGGTCATCATTTTTTCTTTGTGTCTGTCTTTTAATAAATAGCCCATCACTAGTTCTCCTCCCAAGTGGATGGCTGAGTTAGAGAATGATGACATCGATATGTTGAAGGGTGAGTTGTTATTTATTTTTTTTAATTTTTATTTACATTAGACTTGATATCCCGCTCTTGTCCCATGGCTAGGGTCTCAGAGCGGCTTACAGGGTTTCTGGTGCTAATCACCTGTGTTCCTAGCTAGGGCCACAATGTATGAAGGGGGGGGGACAACCTACCGGCACCCTCTCTGTGGTGGCTATTGCTGTTTCTCCGTTGGCTTGGCATGGCCGGGTCTCCTGGTCCAGCGCGTTGTTCTTTCTCTGGCGTTCTCTGGCGTCTCCGGCATTCAGTGGTGGCGATCTCCTCCTTAGGCGCGCAGCTCCGCCTACTTTCCGGCCCGGCCACGTCCTTTCCAGCTCCGCTGAGCCGGAACTCTGCGCACGCCCCTTTCTTCTCTCTTCACGGCAGCCCTCGGTGTACTCCTCAATAGGTCATCATTTTTTCTTTGTGTCTGTCTTTCAATAAATAGCCCATCACTAGTTCTCCTCCCAAGTGGATGGCTGAGTTAGAGAATGATGACATCGATATGTTGAAGGGTGAGTTGTTGCTTTTTGTCTGTGCTTGGTAAAAGCATCACATAACTGACATGAGTAAGGCCTTTGTTACTTGTCTAAAAGATTCACAAAAAGTTGAAGGTTTTGTTTTGCTTTTGTTTCCATAGAAATTGTTGCTGGGTTTTCCTACCTTGTGTGCACTCTTCCCAAAGCAGAGTTCTACCTCTTAATGAGGAAATTTACAGGAATGTTAAAATGGTCTGTAATTGTGGTGTTCTGAAATGTAAAGCCATTGCACTGAGCCTTTTGGAGTCTAATTGATTTCACTGATTGAGATGTATACATCACATACCCTTGAACAGAAGTTAGCATTCATGGGAGGACTTCTCAAACTGACATTTGAAATTCTTCTGAAAATACTGGATAAATTACATTAAAGACAAAGTGAACTTCTAAACTAAGCTTCCAACAGCTGGGTTGAAAAACCTATGGGTCTGCCTGTCTTTGGAAGAATGGAGTAACTTAAAATAAGACAAGTTGGGGTCCTGTGAAACTTACAGAGGAAAAGCCTATCCATACTAGCTGCCACTTTCTCTTTTCAAGATCCCCCTACCCCATTTTCCTCTCTCTTTTTCCAGGTGTATGCTTGCTCCCTGCCCCCCCCCCCAAAAAAAAATTCCACTCTCTTTTGGTAGTAGCAAAACTACCTGGATGTGTATGCTGTTATGGTAGCATTATTGTTACTGTTTTCAGTGTCAAGGTTGATTTTTCAGAAAGGGCTGTTCAAACCACTAATAATTCAGGTCAGATTGTGTACAATATATTTAGACTGAAAGGCATGCATGTTAAATTCTCATAGTCTGTGCTCATGTGATGTGATGTATTTTGTCTATGGCTTTATCCCAAAACATTCTGAATTAACATCTAAAGAAAAGTGTGTTGAAACATATATCCATTTAATTAAACCTGTGGAATGTTATGCGAAGGTTTTTTTGGGGGGGGCTGTATATTTGGGCAATGAAAGAAATAAGTTTGTATGTAAGGATGATATTGAGGCTATAGCATGAAAATCTTTGCTATATCTGTCAATGCAATCCAAAGGAGAATTATACCCTTCTAAGACCACTGAACTCTTAGTTTTTAGAAGGGTGTAACTTTGCTTAGGATTGCGTTGCATGTCTCGGCACTTACTCTTAAGGCACGCTTTTCATTTTCAGAGCTGGGGAGTCTCACAACTGCTAATCTAATGGAGAAGGTCAGAGGTCTACAGAATCTGGCGTATCAGTTGGGGCTTGATGAATGTAAGTACTACATAGGTGCTAGAGTATATTCTGTTTTAAAAGCTTGAATCTTGGATGGTAAATTTTATCATAGGATCATTGCAGAATAACTTTATGTGCATAATAAGAACACATCCAGTATTTGTCATGTGAGTGTGTGTGTGTATATATATATGTGTGTGCGACGTTATGTGCATAATAAGAACACATTCAGTATTTGTCATGTGAGTGTGTGTGTATATATATATGTGTGTGTGTATATAATGTATATATAATGTGTGTGTGTATATAAGAGAGAGAGAGAGAGAATCAAAAGGCATTGTGAGCATTACACATTTCACTTTGTTCTGATTGTATGTAAAATCTTTCCTGTGCTTCATTTACCTAAAAGGTGATAGTGATCCATTCTGCCCTTCTCATAAAACACACTTGATGTAGGAACAAATAAGGAAACTCTAGCATGATGGTCCCTTGGGTAGCTTATTCCAGGTTGTAGCTGGTGGTACTTACAAATGGTGCACTGTAGTCACATCATCAAAGTAAATGATAACCCATGAAGAATAATATTTCAAAGCATGTATTGTTGCATGTAGTTGTTGCTTTACCTGGTGTCAGAACCCTCAAATTCCAGAGATTTCTCAGTCCACAGAGATGTTCTGTTAATGCAGTCAGTATATTCAATAAGCATCACTAACTGCAGCGCTTTGTGAAATTCTTTTTTGTTATTTTCCTATTGCTCTAGACAGTTTGACATGGTGCTGCAGTTTAGAGGTATGGCATGAATTCTCATGGAAGGGAATGTTTATTTAGTATTACTAGAGGGAGGCTTAATAATCCTGCCCATCCAACAGTAACATGAGTTCTTCAGAACCTCAATATCACTATTTGTGTAGTACTTCAAAAAGCACTTTTATATATTATGAAAGGACAGGCCTTATGGTTTAGGCTCAGTTTAGGCCACTGCCTTTCCTATGTTCTGGGTAATATCGGTTCTTCAGAAGCTTACCAAGAATTCCTCAGTGAAAGGATTGTTAAGGACCATCTTCTTGAAAGACTGTTTGTCTATTGCTACCAGTCTTCCCAGGCAGTGTGTATCTTTGGAGGAATTTGGGGTGTATACTGGGGTTTGTTTGGAGGCTCAAGGTGATACTAAGGCCTAAGAGGTCTTTCCAGTGTCTCCTGTGAACTATATGCCCCAGGGTTCTTTACAAGATATGGAAGTTATGTGGTAGCTATTCAAGGGTTCTATGACTGAGTCAGTGTGAAAGTAGTTTCCACAAGGTTGAAAGTTTGCAGATCAGGACAGGTTAGGGAAAGCGAGCATAACACACAAGGTGGGCAAACATCAAAGGTAACACCACAAGCCTTTCTAGGCCACAGCTTTTCTTTATTCTTTGATATCCTTGATTGAAATCAAGGCTCAGGGTATATCAAAGTAAAGCTGAGTTACCTAATACTTTAAAGCAACGAGAGAAAACTTTCTTTGTTGGCAGCTGTTAATAAAAACACATATGTCACTAAGGGCACTTCAGTATGATCAGGCATAGTTTCCCCAACAACATTTCAGCCTTTACACAATGCTTTTGGAAGCCCTGATCTAGTGATGCAGTATTCCGTGTCAACTTAATGGATGGGGAGATGGTATTTATCAAAAGAGTTTGCTACGGCAGTGCCCTGGTCCATCTGATTCAAGGATGCAGCTGAAGTAATGAAGGTGATTCTAAATTATCAAAAGAGTTTGCTAAGGCAGTGCCCTGGTCCATCTGATTCATGGGAGCAATAGATGCAGCTGAAGTAATGAAGGTGATTCTAGAAAGGATGTGGCTCATTGGCTGGCAGTGGAAGGTGCAGGAGCAAGAAAGGAGAAAAGAACAGCTTATTAGGTGTTGTAAACTACCATTAAGGCCAAGAACTGGACATGGGGAACTGTCCAGCCAGGTCCATGGAACTGACAGATTGGTTTCCAAGCTGAAGAGATCAGTGCTGAGATACAGGCTTGTAGGGAGCTGAGCATTAAGGACGTTGCACCAACAGTTGGTGTAAGACAGCAGGTAAATTACACCAACAGCAGCCATCAGATCTACTCTGAGTTCTTTCATGCTTCTCTGCCTGGGTGGCACAGACTCCTGCAATGCACTCTGGGCTCATTTCTATAGATGTTCAGCCTTCTGTTTGATAGATCAGTGCTCCCTGGAGATTTTCTAACTGATTAGAAGTTCACTGGGTCTGTTGGTGGCTGTCTTTATTATATATATAATTATATGTGCTTGGAGGTGGGCAGGGAGCCTACTGCATGGTTTGGGCATCCTTATCGGAGTGTGGAAAAGCATGGCATCAGGGCAGCTCCCCAACCAGCAGTTTGGTGGCGTGTTGGTGGCCTTGGCTGGCAGCAAGGTCTTGGACGTGAGGCCAGGCTGGATTGAGGCCTGCAGCAAGTTGAGTTGGGAGTTTTCCACTGGCTGGGCAGCAGGCAGGTTCCAGAGGCGTATCGAGGGCTTCTCCCCCCTTTCCCTCCTTAACTCATTGTGTGGCCTGGCCTGGATTGCAGCCTGCGGCAGGCTGAGTTAGACATCTTTACAGCCAGCTGGGCAACAGTTAGGAAAACAATGGGGATACAGAAATGAAAAGGGGGGGGGGAAGAGGGCTATACAACATAATTGTGTTTATCGAGGACAACCATGTATTACAGAATGTATAAGACAGAATTTTTTTCCCCTTATATCCCCTTAATTATAATTTTTAAAGTATTGTCTATAAAATACAATAGTTCTTACTTCTGTTGGGGTACAATTATATTGAACATTTTAGGTTTCAAACTTCCTAACTAATCTATTTTGCAAGTACATCATTTAGTTTCATCATTACTACGTATTCAATATTACATATTTTTGCCACTTCATATTCGTTAGAACCTTTAATATATCAAGGTGCAAAGGAAGGTCTATCCTGTCCTTATATATAAAAGCATTTTCGCATTTTCGCATGGCAACATTCTATGCCCGCCAAAATCCGTTGGCTCTGTGATATGTCAATCACAAGGTGTCTCTATCCACTGTCTGTGTTGCCTGAGTTCTCTCCCACCAACTGCAGCCTAGGCCACTCTTCTCTGATTGGGCCAATGTTTCAAGGTCATTTGCATATGGAAGCTGATTGGACTTCACTCCATTCCGTACCTCAACACACACACCCCGTTTGTATATGCGACCTGGTGTATTCTGAAGTAAAATATGGACTCACCCACAACACATCACTTCCCCTTCAAAAGAAACAAACCCAATAACACAACCATGCCACACCACAAAAAAGACAGATCACACCATAAGCAGAATACCACAAGGCAAAAAATGATAGGAAAAGGTGGCAGCAGTCACCCCATTACTGCCACAAATATGTACCTGAGAGTGCTTCAGAGGATGGTGTGCAGATCCCAGGTTCATGTTATAAAAGCTGACTGGGGGATTATGGACCATTCACAGACTTTTTACCTTAATATATCTCACAGGGTTGTTGTGCGGATCATACAGGGGAGAGGAGAATG